GCACCCAGCAGAATGACATAGAATGACCATGTTTGGTATCACACCCTGGCGAGCGTTATATTTTTTCAGAGAAAACACGCATTGGGAACCTTGGTAAGGCCAAAATCTTGGGGCAAATTCAATTGGATGATGCCACTAAAGGTAACACTTTAAGATGTTTCAACGCTCTAAGATTGGATAATGTATAATAGGGTCATGGCACCCTAATACCCTGGTTTGAACATCTGAAACACTTTGCCCGGATGTGACAACAACTTGAGGCAATATGATATTGACCTGTACAACACTTTCACATTGTTTATCTATGCTCTCAGCTTTCTTGGAAAGGACACATGAAGCAAACAACTCCCCAAACATGAGATGGGTCTTGATATGTGTTCATGCAATTTCACATATGTTCATACATGTACGAATGTATATATATATATATATATACACATACTGTATACATATGCGTATACAATTATACATGTGTATATATATATGATTATATATATATGTGATTATATATATGATTATATATATATGATTATATATATGATTATATATATGATTATATATATATATATGATTATATATATGATTATATATATATGATTATATATATGATTATATATATGATTATATATATATGATTATATATATGATTATATATATATGATTATATATATGATTATATATATGATTATATATATATGATTATATATATGATTATATATATATGATTATATATATGATTATATATATATACATATATATATATACACATATATATATACATATATATATATACATGTGCATATATAAATATCTATTCATGGTGTATCTATTATCCCCAAAAAATAATAAACATACTGTCCTAGACTTTGACGCAAACTTCATCCTATGTGGGTGCTGATTCCGTGCCAGTGGCCTCACCCGCACTGTTTCATTGCGCTTAGTTAATGTTCGTTGATGTTAATCAATGTCAATTCATGTCACTGAATGTTCACTGAGTTTATATAATAAGTATATAAAAGTAATATAAAATAATTTTAGTTGATGTTAATTAATATTATTTATATTATATATAGACAAATTTGTACCAGGAAATTGTATCATGACTAGTCGATCCAAGTCTTCTGTAAACCCCAAACTACACATCCACACTCAGCACGAATCTGTTTTTCGTGGCTTTGCCAGTCGAGGCATCAACACATCCATGCGGTGAGCGGAAACAGGGCCAGACATCAGGAAAACTTGGTGTGCACAGTGGAAACTGCACCAGCCACTCGCTGTGCACAATATGGAAACCCATGCCAAGTTGAGTATATGTGATTCTATGGGGCCAAAATGTGAAGGATCGGAACCAATTGGGACAGTCTTCGCCAACTCATGTAAATTGGAGAGTCATAACGCAACTGGTGGGATTTAGACAGCGATTGTCACACAAATGGAGAAACATATTCTCAGAACTTGGGTTTCCAACTCTTGACTACAGTAACCCTGGGTTTCCAAGTAACCTAGTTAGTAACCTTTTTTTTTCAACATATTCCCAGTAACCTGTGTTTTTTGTAAAAAAAATAGGTTTCCCCGGGTTTCCAGGAAATTTCCAAACTTAGGATGTTCGCCCGTGCCGCTCACCACAGCTATGCCAGGGTCGACTTCCCGATCCAAGGTGCAAAAAAAAAGTCCAGCTCCAGCTTCTAGCGAGAAGTTTCAGAGTGCCCCCCCAAATAAAGTGCATATATATATATAATTTATAATGTATTATGTATATATATATATGTACATATGAATATATGTATGTAAATATGTATGTATATATGTACATATGTACATATGTATGTATATATGTATGTATATATGTATGTATATATGTATGTATATATGTATGTATATATGTATGTATATATGTATGTATATATGTATGTATATATGTATGTATATATGTATGTATATATGTATGTATATGTATATATATATATTCTATATATGTATCTGTATTTTGTATAAAAAACTATTGTAGGTGTATTGATATATATATATATATAAACGCATATTATAGGTATCTGTATACTATAGGTGTATATATATTATATATATATGTACATAACATCTGTGTTGATGATTTTGACAGTTTTTTGAACATACTTGGGAACTCCTTTGCAGCAAAACTCCAACTCTACTTCTGACCCTGAAGGCCGTTCTACATAGTGGACCTGCTGCTGGCTTCCCACATATTCAACTCTCCACATTGGAACAGTGCTGTAGTTGTCGGCTTCGTGTGTTTTGTGGATCTTTGTGGTTCCTACTCCCCTGAGGAATGTTCCGCAACGGCCTGCCCAGTCACAATATGTCACAATACAGTGCAGTAATAGCCCAACAAAATAATCCGGTTTCCTATCTGTTATCCACCCACCAAAACCACGAACACAGCCACACCCAGCACTCCTTCTGCGTTTCTGCGTGGCCAATCTCGGATACATTCCCAAAAAGTAAAGTATATATACACATATATATATATACATACATATATATATACATACATACATATATATATACACATAAAAACATATATATATACATATATATATATATATACATATATATATATATATACATATATATATACACATATTTACATATACGTATATATATATACATATACATATCTCAACATAATATATATATATACATACGTACACATAGACAGATGTACTAAATCCATTTAACGCAAGCAACAAAAGTCCTAAAATATCCATCCAGGGTTTACCACACCAATTGCGCCCCTTCATTGTATTGGGGAGCCGAATCCACTGACATCCCTGCGAAGTTCCACCATCTAAAACAGAGATGCTGGTCAAGCTGCTACAACCTCTTTTCCTGGGTAAAAACCACATCTTCAAACTAGGTACCGGCGCTGATAGCGGACCCGGTGTTTTTAATGATTTTGATTTCAACCATTCTTCATTGATTTGTTTAAAGCTGTGGCGCCGTGACGATTTTGTTGTTTTGCCTTCAATTAGAAATGGTGTTTTCGTCCCACGTTACGCTAGGAATTTATTCGTTGATCATTGAGTTCTATTGGGCTAAATAATTTGCAAATGTGGGTTTGGAAAACAGAATGAAAGACGGCGTTTCGTCCTCTTCTTTTTCTCTCTTCATGGGTTCAGCGTGTGCGTTTGTTAACCTTAGCTGCCAGTTTGGAGAGACGTCCTTTCAAGTCTACCTTGTGGCTCCAACGATAGGCAAAGGACCACACATACTGTTGGATTCTTTGAGAATCCTTTTTGGTAACCTTGTCTTTGCTATGGACGGAGAAGGGCAAGAAGCGCTTCAGCTGCATCGTGATACACCATCATTTGTCAGGCGTGTTTCAATCCAAGCCACACGCTTTTGATGCTACGCTGTAACATGTCTCTGGTCGCTTGCCACACGCTCATGATGCTACTCTGTAACATGTCTCTGGTCACTTGTCACACGTTTTTGATGCTACGCTGTAACATGTCTCTGGTCACTTGTCACACGTCTTTGATGCTACGCTGTAACATGTCTCTGGTCGCTTGCCACACGCTCATGATGCTACGCTGTAACATGTCTCTGGTCACTTGCCACACGGTTTTGATGCTACGCAGAAACATGTCTCTGGTCACTTGTCACTTGCCATAACAGCCTCTACTCTTGGGAACCCATGGTGTTAGCGGTAGAATTTTCATGGGTCCGATGTCCTGCAAGCAAAATGATGTGCAACTCTCAACTCTCAAATGTCAACATTACACGTCTTACTTTACTCACCTGAAAATAGAAAGACAAGAGACAGTTACAGAGTAGCACCAAAAGCGTCTGACAAGTGACCAGAGACATGTTACAGCGTAGCATCAAAAATGTGTGACAAGTGACCAGAGACATGTTACAGCGTAGCATCATGAGCGTGTGGCAAGTGACCAGAGACATGTTGCAGCGTAGCATCATGAACGTGTGGCAAGTGACCAGAAAAATATTACAGCGTAGCATCAAAGACGTGTGACAAGTGACCAGAGACATGTTACAGCGTAGCATCATGAGCGTGTGGCAAGCGACCAGAGACATGTTACAGCGTAGCATCAAAGACGTGTGACAAGTGACCAGAGACATGTTACAGCGTAGAATCATGAGCGTGTGGCAAGTGACCAGAGACATGTTACAGCGCAGCATCAAAAACGTGTGACAAGTGAACAGAAAAATACTACAGCGCAGCATCAAAAACGTGTGACAAGTGACCAGAGACATGTTACAGCGTAGCATCAAAAACGTGTGACAAGTGACCAGAGACATGTTACAGCGTAGCATCAAAACCATGTGGCAAGTGACTAGAGAGATGTTACAGCGCAGCATCAAGAGCGTGTGCCAAGTGACCAGAGACATGTTACAGCGTACCCCTTGCCCCCCATGTAATCTAGTTTTGTGGACGTGTGTCTACACAATGCATGCCCACATTGTTGCATGTACATGACATGTTCACATTAATTCATTTCGACCACTGCGCCACTCCGTGGCTCAAGAATTGCTTGCATACCGCAGCAAAAAGGTGTAGCTTGCCGCCGCGTTGACCACAAGTGTTCTAACGACTAGCGTAGATCCAGGGCTCCCTTGACAGAGGGGATTGCAACCTCACCCCACCCCCCTTCCCCACCCCACCCGGTTCCCCAAGAAAATCACACTATCCTTCGCGCACAACTTCTAACTGACGTGCACAACTTCTAACTAACTAACGGGCACAACTTCAAACTGACGTGCACAACTTCTAACTCACGGGTACAACTTCTAACTGACGTGCGCAACTTCTAACTGACAGGCACAACTTCTAACTAACTGACGTGCACAACTTCTAAGAGACGGGCAATGCGACAGCAAAAAAAAACGCAAAACCTGCGGGTCCGTTAACAGCGCCGGTAGATGAAAGTAGGCTAGAACTCTGAACCTGAGTTCTTTGGATATTCAATGATGATTATATTATATATATAGTATACATAGATATACATAGCATATCGACGTACACATTCATCCCAAGCATGGACAATGATGGAAGGAATTGTGTGTTTGATCGCCCAGCATCCCCGGGTGAACGTCGCAGTCCAAGCATTTATCTGCATGGGGCTACCTGCGCAGCGACACGATGCGATCGATAAGGATAGAACGAAAATTGTTATTGATCAAACAAAGACCCTATAGTATACAATATCTTACATAGGATGATACGATCAAAATATGACTTGTTTTTAATGAGTATTGGCCTTCTTGACTGGGTGTCTTTTCCTTGTGATTTCATGGATGTTCATGGGATACGGCAAGTTGCTTTCACTGTCCGAAATGTTCCTAACTTCAAACATGATCTGAAACCACCAATTGAACAGTTTTTTTTGGTGGGATACAAGCTACGGGATTTGACTGATATGTTTTCAACCTGCCAGGATTACCGCTATGCCGCTATGCTTTCCTCCAGGAAAGGGTGATTTTGAGGGTATACCGTATACATCCGTATACCCCATTTTCAGAGATCCTGATGGGTGAGGGTCTGTTTGACATATAACTCAGTAAAATTGTCAATGTCAACGTGTTTGGGTCGCTCAATTAGGGTGGTTTGTGTGCTTGTTTTGAGGTGTCCAAAATTGGGATGGGATTCACTCTGCGTGATGTGAGGGCTTCTTAAGAATGTACCCCAAAATTTGATGGCTTGATATTTAAAATAGGATAAAGTCTGACATAATCATTCGAGGATGATCTTGGAGTACTCACATTTTACGACATACCCATGTGCTGTGGCATGTGGTTCCCTGGAGTTCAGGACCCCATGCAGTGCTGGACACCTTAACAACATCTTTCATTGCTTTTCCCAAAAAACATGACATAGACCACTAGCTTGATGACTTGTGCTGCGCCCCTGAACTTTACAAGTTCATTGCCATAGAAAATCCCCAAATCTCCCGTCCCTGGGTCCCTGGGTGACCTGATTTCCGGTTTTAGGTCACCATTTGGAGCCGCTCGAAATCTCGGGAGTCGTCCATGGCTTCGGTTCCTTCGAGGGCATCGCCATAACCTGCCAGGGGAAGTGATTCGACTCACATTCGTCCTGGGGCCCCTGGGGGCCTGAAAATGGGAATATGTCACCAACAATCATCGACTTCATGTATGTTCATATGATATGTCTAAGTCTACGTGGTTTATTTCTGGTGGTTTTGTAAATGATAACCAACTATAAACGAGGGTTGAATCGGACATGGGGATATCACCGGGATGTTAACCAACTATATATTATATAAGATTGACCAACCATGATTCAATGGGGATTCCAGCTTCGGAATACTAACCAACAAGATGATTTGGGTCTTTCTGAAACCCCAAATGTATGACAGTTTCATTGAGACAATGACTAACCACTGATTTGGGGGTAGCCGGGTACCCTATTTTCTCACCTCATGTTGGCTCCAGGGGTACCGCATTTGAATGGTGGATTTGGATCCAGGTCCTGGACCATGCAGGATGCACTTGGGTAAGATTCCCAATGTTTATATATTATATACATATGTATAGTATATAGTAAATATATGAACAAATTTTGCTGGTCAAATTCCCTATATATATAATTATATATATATAATTATATATTGTTTTTTGGGGATCTGAAGGCCCACAGAATTGAAGATCCCATCATCGCCGTATCTCAGCCTCTGAGTATCCGATCAGCCTCGCCGCCACCGGGGATTCCGTCTTCACCCATAGGTTTCCATAGGTTGATCATATTATATACTGATAGTTAAAAAAACCATACAAAACCTATGCAAACCTCAATAGGTTTATGATAATCCCTTTCATTACACCATTATTATTTTTTTTAAAACAAAAAAAACATTAAAAACAAGGGGATTTGACTGACCCTATTAGCATGGTTAAAACACATCATGGATGCGATCTTTGGAGATCTTTGGAGTCACCTCGGGAGGACATCCCCAGTATGTCAAAAATAAGATTTACTCATCAAGTGTTTGGTTTTATATGACTTATCTCCCATGACTTAGTTGGTTCGATCATCATCAAACCCCATGAAACCTCTTATTCTTGTTGGTGAAACCATGTAGAACCCCGGACTTCCTGATTGAAACACTATGGAACCTTGTTGAACCGCATGAAACCCGATTCAAACCCCATGTAACACATTGTAACGCCACGCAATGCCCATATATCTTTAGTGTTAATCCCCATGATTCAAAAGAAACATGTCAGTTCCTCATCTCGCCCAGCGCCCCTACCTCGCTTGGCTGTCGCGTTCCTGGGAAAAGAAGCAGCCGGAAAGCTGAGGGGGGGCCGAGAAAACTGGCAAGAGTAGAACTAAACCAAGATCCTAACAGTTGGGGGAACATGACCCCACCATATTCTTGAGTTTGTCTGAAAATTGGTCCTCATCATCGGCGCTCACAATTTTGGCGCATCGGCGCCCCTCCATCTATCTATATCAGAGGGGTGTGAGATGAGATGGGGTGGAGTCTGGGGTGAGGCTGGGCTAGTCACTTAGTTACGTTCATTTGCACGTCCACTTGGATTTGACAGTGCTCTTTCAACTTGTCGCTTGACACAAGCCCACGCGCACAGCCAATCCATGAGGTTAGATTCTTTTAGATGACAGTAACTTAGTAAGCCGAAACATATGCATCCGAAGGTAGTTGAATTTTTCACTACCCCCGTGAGAAATACGAGCAGATTGGGATTATCATCCGAGGTTGAACAATCCAAACCCGGGCGGCCGGACGACCGGTGCACAGAAAGTAACCGAAGAAAGATGCGATCAGCGCGACAAGAGCCAACCTGCCACTGCGCACGCTAAACAACCAATAACTGGATGCCAGCACTCAATTCAAGATATACTGAATATGTTTTTCCTTCGGTATATGCAAGATACCGTTCCAGTCCTGAATGTTGTTGCATTGCAAATCCCCGATGTATCAGGTTCTCTCATGATCTGCATCAAAATGGCCACAACTTGGGGAGTTTTCGGAAATCCCAGGTGACTCTGCACTAGGTCCACTAGGTCCAGAATGATGGAGTACATCCCGCATCATCCCGCAAAGGCATTTTCCAGCGAGTATTGTAAGTGGCTGGTTTCTGTTCTATCATTGCAGTTAAAATGAAATGGCTATGGGTCAAAACCTTGTACCCCTGGTGAACATCAAAATAGCTGGTAAATGGATGTTCATCCCACTAAAAATGGTATGTATAGGTATTGATCCATCCCCAATTACCAACAGGATACTATATTTACCCAGTTGATATCCCAGAGCTCTGTCCAGAATACGTATCAAATTCATGGAATGGCTATGGTCCAAAAATATCTGAGCCCCCAAATTGGACGTTGTTACAGTAGTCATGACCAATTTGGGTTCTTTTGGCACCCCAATTTTGACCCAAGTCTATCTATCTGTCCATCCATCCATCAATCTGTCTAACTGTCTTTCTGTCCAACTGTCTGTCTGTCTATCAGTCTATCCATTCAATCTATCTTTTAATCCACTTTAATCTATCAATCAGAATCATGATCAAATCTATCTTTAATCAGATCTATCTATCTAGCTAGATAAATGTCTATCCACATACATACGTATATATATATATATATATATACATATGTACATATATATATATATACATATGTACATATATATATATACATATGTACATATATATATATATTGATTTTATACCAGTTGCATCCACTTCCACCTAAACCTTTGAAGCCAGCTTCAGGCCGCCATGTGTCACAGGGACTAAGTTTGGTACCAGGGCAATTGACCGATCCAGCTCCTGACCATGGCGATCAGTTGAAATGTGGATATCCATACTATATATATATATGTGAAATTATAGTATAGAATATATAGTTATATTCTATATAGTTCTACATAGTTTTATATAGTTATAAGGATCTAATGTAGTGTATATGTATATATGAACTGCATCTACATTCACAAAGAAATATAAACGATTGTATGTGTTTGTAAGATCGATATATATATATATATATGTACCATTCGATCAAAACATGACCAGCTGTGCCATCATCAAAATAGAACCAGCTGTGCACTCGCTAGTTTCAACGGCAGCCCTGCTGGCAGCCTCTAATTTTGATAATCTCTCTCTGTATGTAATGTATTTATGCATGTGTATATATATATATATCATTCATCATCATTCATTATTATTCCATATTGACAGAAGTATATAGGGTTATTTGGGGGAGAAAAAAACATCTCAAAACCTCTAGGTCTCCAGGTTCAGCTGCTTAAATAATGGCTTTCTTTGCCCATGGCCTAAAAAGAGGGGACACTCCCTGGTCGGTGTCATTTTCAAATGGAACGGTCAGCAAATTGTATAATATGTATGTATATGTACATACTATATATATATATATAATAAATTTAATATTATATATATTATCATATTTAATATATATATATATAATATGAGATATATATATATATATGTAATACACTATATATTAATATTTAATATAATAAAATATATGATAATATATAATATATAATATATAATATATAAAATATACTATATAATATATAATATATACTATATACTATATACTATATAATATATAATATATAATATATAATATATAATATATAAAATATACTATATAATATATAATATATACTATATACTATATAATATATAATATATAATATATAATATATAATATATAATATATAATATGTAATATGTGATATGTAATATGTAATATAATACACTATAATATGATAAAATATGATATAATATAATATAATATGATAATATATAATTAATATGTAATAAAATATATTATATATGATATATCATATATTATATATAATATAAAATATATTATACATACATATACATAATGTATAATGCATAATACATAACATTCATAACATGTAATATATGATATATAATATTATATATATATTATACTGTATATAATTAATACACACCATGTAATCTGTCACAAGAGCGGGTTGTATCCACGTGTTCGCCACTCATTTGCAAGACTCTGCAGGATCACTACATGCATTTTTAGGTGATACTGGATACTAGTAGCTGAGATGATGATAGCCCGGCACCGAAAACATACCAATCCAATGAGGATAACACCAGCTGGGAAGGCGACCGGAGCAGGCGAGGTAACAACCCTGATGTATTGCCACTAGAGTGATGTGTAATCCCCGGAAGGGTAAAAGGGTAAAACAAAGGGTTTGGACAAACATCGCAGAAAACCCAAACTGGCAACTTGAATGGGGAACATGATGCTTGAACCATTGAATTTTGTGGTACCCATTTTTGGGCAAACTCATGCATGAACACTGACAGAATTGGGATCTGCCATGCAAGGACAGGATAAATCCAAGATCTACCTACCGTACCGTAAATCACTTAAAACTGTTAGATCACCCATTCATCCCTGTAACCATTTATCCATTTAATTGCATTTGCACTTTACGTACTGAAGCTGGGAGCTCTCCTTGTCCAGTTTGGAGCAGCAAACACATCATCCATGGTTGGCTCTCCAAGGATTCAGCCGACGGGAAACCAATGTGCTGACTGAGCTCGGGAAAAAAACGAGGTTTAATTGATGATGTTTCATGTAGATCCTTACTTCAGCACCTATGTTGAAACTTGTACGCACAATTGCTTTGTTTATATTTACACATACATTAATATGACTACTTAACTTAACTTTATAATTACATAATTATCCTGAATTATCATCATTATTATGCTGCATAATCATACTATGTTAAACTGTAAATGTAAATCTATTTGCATGTAGAACAACATATGGGTCTGTGTAAAAATATGGTACTCCAAAATCCATTGGTTAATTATCATTTCCCCTATTGGCATGGATATAACATGATATAACTGGGATATTCTGCACATTGTTTAGAAGATTGTCCAAAATTCCCAAGACCAGAGCGGTCAGCACTGCAAAGTGAGCCTGGTAACACCTTTCTTTCCCCTGGTGGGCGACACAAAAAACTCGCCCAGGAAATGATTGGGAGAGTCGACTCTCATCATGTTGGAAGACACAGGGATTTTGACGAATAATGTCAATTCTGTGGAATGAAGTAAGAAATGGATCAAACCAGCAAAAATGTGGATTCGAAATTGAAAGTGGGGATTCAAGAACAAAGGACATTTTGTGTAAGTAACACACATGAGAGACAGTCGAACGATCTTTGGGTCTCTGGTCGGATTGTGAGCGGTGATTGGCTTGACCTTTGAAGGTCAATTGGGATCGACTATGAATTTGCTGGGAACATATGGTGATTTTACCATGAACAAACTAGATCTTTGTGGGAACTGATTTTTTCCGGACTTACAATGAGGTAATCAAACATGGTAATGGGAAATTCCCTATCAATAGGCATTCAAATGAGACACACATCATAACACATCTATAAATACGAGCTTCCATTGCTATGCTTGATTACCAGAGGGTCACCCGCAAAGAGATAAACAACTGATAAACACAATTAAACACATGTTTCCAGGACGGTGATATTTAGCGTTATTCAATGCTATTTAGCTCATATTTCCAAATGTCCCACTCTTAAATTCTATCTATCTTAGGGATTCTACAATTGGTTGGGTTTTGTCATATAAAGAAATGTTTGGGGCTTCTACATATCTATCAATTGTGACATCATCTAATCATGTGATTTTCCTTTCAATTGGTTTGCAGCAAGGGAAAAGTCAACAAACTACTCACCCGCCAGTCATCGATGGCAAAGGGGTGATCCGACTCAGCGTGCCTGCCCAACTGATAATCAGCATATTGCCAACTGCTCACTTGATATCTGTCCTCAATAGGGGCTACAGGATCATTTGGATGCTGTGGTGGCTGAGTCTGAGTGTGGATAATTCATATCATCTGCATATTTCAACATACGGCTTTGGCGAATAGACAAAACACAAATCTTGAATTTTCTATTATCCTCGAACTGAATCCGGTTATCCTTCAATCGATCTTTTTTTCCAAGTGATTTGTTTTCCAAAGGGGAGGCTCCGCGGTAATAAATAGGGATGCTTCCAACCTCAGGCCCAGGGACCCCTGTAATATGCTGTGGTGATACCAAGCAAATCCTTACCGTAATCCCAAAGTTTGATCAGCCCATCTATAAATTGACACGGTATATGGCAATTTAACCAATAATTATATATAATTACTGTAAATTGATAATATATATATAATTATTGATATAATGAACACATATTATATATAATTACTGGCAACACACATAATTATATGCTGGTTCGTGGTTTTAACCATCTTGAACAATATTAGTCAATGGGAAGGATTAGCCCACATACTATGGAAAAGAAACAATGTTTGAAACCACCAACCAGTATATATGTATATATATTTATATGCACGATGGATGCAAAATTCGGGGATACAGTACCCCAAAAATGGCCATGAAATGGTGCAAACTTCATGATAAACCATCAAGAATTGGGTATCCATTTTCAGACAAACTCATTTAGAGAACCTGATCTACCCAACGAACAATGGCTTGTGAGTCAAAAGGATATCTATCTGCACTTCTCTTTTTTGATCTCCATTTGAACAGTGTTCAAAACCCTCTGTCATTCCGTTCCTTGATACTTGTTGGTTAATATAAAAGGATTTCCTAATGGAGTGTGATACTCCTCAATATTTTGGATAGTATAACCCCATAGAATCATCAATCCAGATGTTTGTTTGAACATTGGAATGGCCAGTTTGTTCATAGATACCTGCGATGAATAGCATGCGGGTGGGATAGATATACAGAAACGGTATCCCCCTGAACATAGAGCTGTAAAAACTAAAAACCTACTAAATTAACGATAACTTACAGTCCTTTCTATTGGGAGCAACTATATATATATATACACATACATATCCACCGTAATTATAGATCTTTAGTGATTGGTGGCTTCAGCCTCTTCCAGAAATATTGCTCCATTGGGCATTCTCATCCGATTTTTGCGGATGGGAATAAACACCATATTTGAAACCAGCAACAATTTAGTGATTGGGGCACTATTAAAAAATAACATAACCTCATGTTCCTTAAGGCTCAACTATGATAACTATGACGCTTAAACAAGACCAACACATTGAGTACTGTTTATCTCCATTCCTTTAAACAGCAACATCATTAAACCGTGGCTTCTGTCAGTCAGCGAAAAAATAACAACTTCTTTTTCAATTATGGTAGCCGCGAAATAAGATAGATCTAGTAATTTACCATTATTGGATCTCAATGGTCTACCTTTTTGGGGCATTGCTGTGATATAAAAACACTAGAAAAAAACTACGGGAACTACATCTAAATACACGGATTTTTAGATATACAAACTTGTATTTTAGACTACCTCCGGGAAGGTTGTCCTTTGCCCGCCCGGCCATTTAAACCTACGGAGTCCAATTTATTTAACTATACATTTAAATACCGATGGAACTGGTGTTTCATACTACCTCCGGTGCCTTGTAGTCTGGCCCGCCCTCCACATATTTATATAAATGTCATTATCGCGCAAATAGTAGTGATACAATGTTACAAATCCAATCATTAAATCGATGATTGCAATATCAAAAAAATACAAACCACTTATTCAATCAATGTCAACCAGTTGCCAAAAAAAAGAAACATCACTCAACCATAGAAAACATGTATTATTGTTTTTTTTAAACATTAACATAGCTATGAAAAACACCAATAAACATCATATATGAATTCGTATATAACAGGGTTATATAGATTTATATCAAAATAGCTATACAATAGCTATATAGCTAGGTAGATTGCTATTGATATATATAGATATCTACAGGACAAAAACTCATCTTCCAAGGCACCTCCGGTCGCAGGCGCTTCAGGATCTTGGGCTCGGGCAACTTCTCCTTGGGATCCAACGAGAAGGATCCCATGGAAAATCCATGGGAAACCCATGGGAAATCCATGGGAAATCCATGGAAATCCAGGGAAAATCCATGGAAAACCAATGGAACATCCATAGGGGAACTGATTCAACGATGAACAATCTGTTTTTTAACAACCAAACTGAGGATTCACTTGGGAAATGTGGATATTTAGCAACGAGCACGTGGATTTCAAATGATTTAACCCTAGTCACCTAGCCTAAACCTTTCAAAATGATTCAAAATGGGGAATTTAAGAACCAAATCTGATAGTCAATAGATTGATTTGAGGACAACAAAACAAAAAACAAACATGGTTGCCATAGTTTTTGCCTTTTCTCCATTAAATGAATCTCACATAAGGGTTTCCTCTTGATGTTCCCTTCATCCGATTCCGGACAAATAGGGCCCCCATGTTTGGACGGTTTTGGAACATCAGTTTAGCTATGTTTGGCGAGTATCTTTGGGGTACGTGCTCGATAGTAGGTAGGAAGCCAAAGAAACTTTGGGGTATCACCACATGAGGATGAAAACGACAAAAAGTAAAATTGAAACTTCAATGTAAAATGCTAAAGTCCAAGACTAATGATGGTAATCGGGGAATATTGGGTCGATATTTCATCCACAACCATTGGGTGGGCGGAAGAAGCAATGATATATGATGAACCAATATTGAATAATTACATACCATATCTAAACTGGCTGAATCAACTGAAGATGTGGGAATAAGATGAAATACAGTACAATCAAACTCTCGGCGTTACTTTATCTGTATATGGTAGCATCTATTGGTCGCCAACCAAAAATGTCGCCAGTGATCCACAATTGGTCTCCTTTCGCAGCTCGTCAATGTCACGATATGGTGATCCAGCGCAGCTGGAGCTTTACATGCCAAGATTGAAATACCGGGGCCCAAATCAATCCAATGATGGATGAATATTGTTTTCAACACCAGCCAACTGATTTCAGTCCAAATAAAATCACCCCACAACAGAAAACAAAGACATGAGACTCTTGCCTGTCTCAAGATTTACAGGGCAACACAACTACAATTTCTGCCCAGATTCAATTTTGCAAAGTGGATTTAACAAAGGACATTTCAGTGACATTCAGTGACTAAAGTATACTAAAGTATACTAAAGTATACTAAAGTGACTAAAGCCCTCAAATTATCAAACAAATAATCCTTAGTTACTTTAGTATGTTACAGCAACAGCACCATCCCAGGGTCCCACAGGGTCCCACAGGGTCCCATCAATCTCGCTCCTGCTTGGCAAGCATTCTCTGTGAAGTATCAAATCTTAATGCACAGTTTACAAACATCCCAAACATCCAAACATAAAAAAACACAATATTATATATATATATATATCAAAATATACTATAAATATATATATATATATAATTATATATATATATATATATTATCCAATATTGTGATTCTCCATCCTTTTAGAATCCATAAGTAGTACATATCTACTATGATTTATAATTATCATATCAGAGTTCTGGGTAAATTGTATTAATTCACTAACCTGTTACCCTCTGGTAAACAAACATAGTAACATAGCTATTGAAAATGGCCATTTATAGTGGATTTTTCCATTAAAAATGGTGATTTTCCATAGCTATGTAAACGTTTACCAGAGGGTATGCATACCCTCCAGAACATTGATCCTTATCAAAGTCCCAGACACCGTGGGAGGAATCAAAGGCCATGTGGCTCCGCGAAGCCTAGAGCGACCAACATTGCCAGGGAATGATCCAATGTTTCAATGGATTGGTTCAGGGCAAAATCTATGTACAGTGAGCCATGGCAGCCATGGCTTTACCACCGATAGCTAAGTTGGTTTATAAATCCAATAACTATGGTTGATGGTTGATGATACTAACTCTAGTAACTCTAGTATTCTAACGGGGTTTATAGACTAACTTATAACTGTGGGGCCCCGCATTGTAGAGGTTTCCTGAACATTTTCCCATTCAGTTACAGAAATGTTGGGGATTGATTGGAGTCCAAGACTTTCGGAACAGATGCACTCAGACGGTGAAGTTAGCTCTGCTTTTGGCAGTAGAGTGTAGGGATTTAAGTGCTGTCAACAAGCGTTTCGGGATTATGTCATAGGAATGTCAACAAAACTCCCCCACCGGACGTCCAACATAGCTCTGGTTGCGGGTGCAAGATACTTGGGAAAGGAAGAAGCGTATAGAAGCATAGCATCAAGTGCCAACGAAAATCAAAAGAGAAAGTTAAGAGCGTAGCGGCGTAGCATCAAGGGCCTGTGTAAGTTGCAAGATTAACAGTAAGAGTGTAGCATCAAGTGTGAGCGTAAGTGAAAAGCAAACGTTATATAAGATCATAGAATCAAGTTCCTATGTACAGTAAGGTACAAGAGAAAGTAAAACGCCTAGCATCAAGTGAGTGCGCAAGTACAAAGCAAGGTTACTGGCCCACCCCTAACCCCATCCACCGCATCTGTGTCATGTGCATTCGCTGTTTCAACAATTGCAGTCGTCTGAGAGGTGCCACAGCCAGAAAACCTATGCACTGTTGCTGTAAAAACCGGTTTTGGCATGGTTTTTGCTGGCTTTGGCCCCATGTTTGGTGCCTTAAACCCAACATTACGATATGACGCGCACCCCCTCGCTGTCCGGGAAGCTTGAGGGCATGGGCGTCCACGTAAGGGACCCAAGGTCTCCAACATCTACTCCACGAGCAGTTCTGAGGCCTGGCATGGCGGAGGTGACGAGAAACATGCGGTACCTTCAACGGGTTGAATCTATGAGTGGATCCTGTTTTTTCTGAGGAAAACATCGGTACCAAAATTATCAGGTGTGTTCGTGTTGGATGCTTCAGATGTTGGAAAGGATTGTTGTTGAACCAAATGGGCTTACCATTTTTATTCGAGCCTAAAAGAGAGCCGTTTTCTGTAGAGGTCCCTATTCTAATCCGAAATGGAGAACGATGGGGGCAGGGGATACGTTTAGCGAATTCAAAAAAGATGGAGAACTTTCGAATGGACTCATGTCGTGACAATGTCTGCAAAGACCTCTGTACGGCGAGGATGCGAGGAATGGATCTAAGTATGTACACAATATATATATATATATATTATATATAATATATATATATACACATTACATTCGTAGCTTTATGTATTATTAACATAGTAACATATTGTTGTGGCATATTATAGCACATCATAGCATGCACAGGGGCAAAGCAGGAGAACCTCATCCCCTGAGTAAAGATTGCCATCTGAAAGCGGATGGCTTCACACAAAAAGCATCGACACGACATCAACATCTGCAGGCCCCAGGCACTTTGTATTTCAACAACGTCCATGCATATACTGTATACGAATTTGTAAATATGATTGAATATATAATTATGTTGTAATATCATGTAATATCATTAATTGTGGTATTATATGCTATATCCACCCATCATATTGTCCCTTCTCAATCTCCTTTATGTAATCCCAATATCAATATCCCAATTATATAAACGTGTATAATATATATATATATATACTAGTATGTGTGTGTGCGCGTGTGTGTGTGTGTGTGGGTGTGTCTACATGTATTGTCTACAACTTCCTTGTCCAAATCAACCAGTTCCTCGACTCTAACATCCTCTAGCCACATGGCTTCAAAAGATTTCAAAAGCATTGGCCCAGGTGCTTGTAGCACGTCTGTTCACCTTCCATGCTCTCTTGACACACCTGCAGGGGATAGGAAGCAAAGGGCTCAGAAAATATCACAAAATGCAAACATTGGTGTGTAATTGTATTTTAAATATTTTAAACATATTTCTTGAACCCAGCTCTGCCACAAAATCACGCTCTTACCTGCTTTCGGGTTGTACGGAAACCCGTAGCCTTGACTGTCTAGACTTTGGGGGACAAGGTTCAGTTTTCTCAGCTGACAAACGCTTTTCTAGCCAATCAAATAGCTATGAATCAAAACCCTGGTACCTGGATGATACCCTAGGTCATTAGCTGGTTGATGGATGCTTATTCCCCCAGTTTAATTTCGTAGGTTTTGACTCATCTCCAGATCTTGTCAAGCAGGAAATCGGACGTGTCAAGCAAGCAACTTACTTTTCTTCTTGTTCACATTGGAGTTTCTTGAAATGGGGGTACCCCAAAATGCATGGTATATACTGTAATGGAAAAACCTCTAAAAATAGATGATTTGGGGTTAGCCCTATTTTAGGAAATCTCTACATTGGTGAATTCAAAGTATTGTAATTCATGCTGCAGAATTAAACATTCTGGTACAATTCAGTGACCAAGGTTTGTCAAGAAAATGCTAATAGATTGCAGTTACCCTCTGGTTATTTAACATAGCCATGGAAAATCACCATTTTTGATAGGTAAACCATCTATCAATGGTTATTTTCCATGGCTATGTTAAATAACCAGATGGTATGGTTTATTGTTGGGTCTACATCAGTTCGATAGCCCCAAACCCCCTCACGAAATTGATCAATGTTCATCACCGATGGTCCACGCAAGGCGTGAGGTCCCCTTCCCAGAATTGGATGGACAATTGAAAAAGGGCTACTGTAGATTCTGAACCAATCCAATATATCCCTAGTTTGGTGATGATATCCTCATGGTTCATCATCATCATAGATCAACCATAGATTATCCATAGATTATCCATAGATCAACCATAGATTATCCATAGATTAACCATTGGATGAACTCCCCAATTTTCTATGGCTGAGAAATCCCGCCCAAAATTGCACGGTGCCGTGCTCCCAGAAATCAGCGCCTGGTGATGAAAGGAGTCATCAGAAGCATCGATCGCAACCGTAACCACCTGGGAGACGTTGGAGTCCGAACAATCTGACCCTTCGCAACGACCGTTGCGATGGACTGTGGACAGGTATTACATATTATACACATATAATTATATACATATTATGCGGTATGTATATGTATATATCACATATATCTAAATATATATATATTATACATATATACTAATATGTATACTATGTATATACATACACTGTGTGTATATGAATCTGTATATACTTAATATGTGTATATATATAATCTTTTATATCCAATTTTTATGGGTTTTGTCTCTAATGATATAGGGCATCCCATTTTTTTACTGCTGAGAACATAATCGAATCTTACCCATTGAGATGGTCATTTGTGGGTATCCTGCCCATCCCAATCGATTTGTTGGACCAAGCGATAAATATGATATGGCTTTGTTTATATACTTGTAAGAATTGATAGAGGATTACATACTTGTATATACATACATATATATATATATACATATCATTTTGTTAGGACCCTTAGGAACATTCAACAAAATCAGCGGACAAAATATTGATATTGGTATTGTTCCTGTGACAAGTGAGGGGTCGCAAACCTTCGAACATACCGTTGTGTGACAAAGTCTTGGCACTTCAGATCCTCGTGCTCCCAACACAGCCGCTTTAGAATGTTTTATATTGCTTGATGGGACCTAGCTGTGTCCAAACTTAGGGGAGTACCCATGTTTATGGTCAGCTTATTTTGCCATGAACTTCATCATTGGATAATTAAGATAAATCATATATATATAACTAACATTATATAACATTTATTGTTGCGTAGTTCTCATTATTACCATAAAATCCTCATTAGTTTCTCACCCATGAACTTTTGGGCCAATACCCAGATTGGGATAAGAGTGGACAATCCAAAACCATGCAGCACCCTGAGGGTTGTTGAGGGTTGAGGCCAACTACCAACAAATTGTGCTTGAACGACCCAAAAAGTTGGTATTCATTTTATTTGTCTTGACTTGACTTCTAGTCGTTGAATAATCTCACATTGCTCAAATTTGATTCCATATAAACAATTGATTGGAATTGTCGCCTTATTTTCAGACAAAGCAAGGCCAATGAGGTTCCGAAACCTCCCGCCCTGGGTTTCCTGGCATTGCGCAGGTCGCAATATTCTGAAAGCAAGTAGGCAGCGTAAGCCTTGGCAAAGTCAAGGGAAACATAGGGAAACCACTCAACTCACATTGCAATCCAACTATGAAATGCCCAAAAACATCTCCGAAAAAGGGCCTCCCAAAATCGCCTTCGGCGCCAGTTGTTCGAGGTGAGCTTCGGACGGGCTTTCCACCGATGATGTAGACACCCAAACCCAGAGCAAAGTGGCTGTAGATGTTCCTCAGGCACTGATCGAACACTGCGCGACTCCATTGTGGATGATTGTATAACATAGAGAACACAGTACACAGAACAAATCTATGCCAGATTTCATGAACTGTTTCATGTAAACACATTTCATCAGATGGGTCTGCAGAGTCGCGTCATCGTCATCATCGTCGTCATCATCATCACCACCATCATCGTGATAATGATCGTAATATAACATCTAGTGATATATATTCATAGTAATATTCATAGTAATATTCATAGTAATATTCATAGTAATATTCATAGTAATATTCATAGTAATATCAATAATCATCATTCTAATAGCAATATTCATAGGAATAATTAACCATAGTAATTCATAATAACTCAAAATAAACAATATCATCATCATAAATCTAATAACATCTATATAATGACCATAACAACATTCATAGGAATAAACATCAAACAACTCCACTGGCGACCTTGGCCCAAGCGGCCGATCCACAGCATAGGCTGCGTAACGCCGCCTCACATGAGTCGAAGGGGGTCCCTGACGTCTCGTGGGGTACCAGTTTGGACCAATGGGTGGTTTGATGTGGTTTGTTTAGTGTTAAAACCGTATCAAACTATACTATATTGAACATGACTATTACATTATTAAACCATCCGTTTTTGGGGCAAGTAGACTTTGCCAAAAGATTTAGAGATTGAAAGCAGGTTTGCCAATCTGTTGGCCCTCGGGTCCAGTTCCAGGAAGCGTAGTGTACCAAACATTGGTTTACATTCAATCAAGCAGTGGTGTTTCAAACTTGTTGATTCCTATTCCATCCCAAGTGCTTTCAAAGGTTCATATATACATATATATGTATATATATATATATATATATCAGAAAAAATATATAATTATATTATATATCATTATATATAATAACAATAATAATAATAGTAATAATAATAACAATAACAATAATAATAATAATTAATAATAATAATATATATGTATATATATATATATATTCATATATCTCTTTGCCAAGAAAACTGCCATGTTCAAATTTTGGTGTAGAGAATACCCATGGATCATCACCCGTTCTTCGGGCATCCGGACTGAAGGGTAAGATCGGAATGGTACGGGAGCTCAGCCTGGAAAAAATAGAGCCTGGGAACGGCCAGTGCTGAGCTGGTGAAAAACACCGACCAAAAAATAGTGATGAATAGTGATTTTAGCAACCTCGAGAAAGAATGAGAAAGATAGAAAATAGTGTTGAATTGAACATAATTGAACCTGTTCCTATCTTTTTCGGGGGTTGCTGTAGCTTCGAGATTATGTATAAACTATCGCAACATATACCAAAACATGTGAACAACAAGGGAATGGGAACCGGAACCGCCCGGCGTCATGACTTGCAACGTTTTTTGAAACAGAAACTGAAGATTGAGATAGATAGATCCTACACAAGCAACATGGTGGCATTAGCATAGAACATCCTAGAATTGAATATCCAAAAATATGTTTAGACACACCCAGATCATATTGTGGATTAATATGCCCAATACACACCCATTTAAACCTCTATAATTTATTGTTGGCCAAGTCAGCATTTTTGGACGCACACAAATATAGTCTTATTGATCATACATAAGTGATACGTCCATTGTACCCCCATCATGGTTGGTTTTGTAGTCCTATAGCCTATATCTCATTCTATCCGGGCTTTGATACTAGATAAATCTTGGCTAGCTACTAGCCTCTGTTATCTATATATATATAATGTATAGCTATTAAAAATAGCAATCTGTAGTTTATTGATCTAGAACAACATATGCAATTTTTTCCATCCATTTCCCATAATTTTAGGTATTGGAGCTTTGGGCACCCGACTGGCCCGCTTCACCGTTCCACAGCAGCATATGGCCACCCTGGTTTGAGCCCCGGGCCCGGTCATGTCATGTTGGGAAAGGGTCGTGTCACTGTGTTTTCGGGATTCCCAGTTGATGAGAATCATTGAGAATCCCCAGTACCATCTGGTAAATTAACATAGACCCTGGTAGATAGGGGTTGGAAGATTAGTTTCCATTAAAACTAGGCTATTTTCAGGATCTATGTTAATTTACCAGAGGGTATCTTGGAATCTTGGGTAGCACAATTCCCTATCATCAACCAGCAGGGCTTGTCTTGCAGCCACTGCTCAGCTGACTGGAAGAGTGAAGGAGGAAGCCACCTGACACTAAAACGGACGAGCCCAGCGTCTCAACACTAGTCATAGTCATGTTTAAATATGTTTAATGTCAACCATGGATTGATAAACCCCTAGGCTGTTGAATTGGGGGGTGGGTACCATTGTATCAGAGTATGACCATTGGGGGAGTATCACCCTAATTAAAACCATGGTTTACTAATCCGGGGTTGACATGATAATCTTTAAACAAACAATCCCTTGGATCTGCTCAACATTACCAACAGTGCAACAACATGTTCGTTGGATTCCACAAATGGTTTTTATCAACTAAGTGGAAAACATTCAGAATCCTTTTGAGCAAATCTAGACCAACCAGGTGGATCAACATGGATCAACGAGTCGTCAAAAATCAACCAGGTTGAATCCCAGAAAAAACCACCATCTGTTTTGGTTTAACCAACTTTTTCTGGGCTAAACCACCATTTTTCTTGGGAAAAAACAAAAACGTAACACAGGCCCGAGGCAAATGTTTCGACAGATCTCGGTGTCCCCGGCATCAATGTGCTCCACCGCCACGCCATAGGCGACAATGTTGTTCCTGGGGCAGCCGGCAGACTGCGGCAGATTCGACAATGACCAAGGCTGATGGGGGATGTATCTACAGAATCTATAGTTAGATGGGCTTAAAATCACCAACTTAGCTATCTTTGGGGGGAAAACTTCACTTGGTCCCATGTGAACTACCAAAGCCAGTTTGGATTGACATCTCTGGTTTCTATTCATTTTGAGAAGCCCAAAGATGCAAGATCTTCCCAACATGGATCCAGTTCAGTTCATGTGAAACCGTGCTTATGGTGCCCTCCAGATTTTACTGCATGAACACCCGCCCTCAAAGCGCATGTGTCCAGAGGGAACTGCAACTTTCGAGACGCCAAGGAACAATGGCCGTGAGTGGAAATGGATGAGCTGAAACATGGCTGGAATGGATTCATACGACTGTTCAAGCTATCAACATCTTCAAAGTTTGACCAGCAGCTGGGATTGAGGTTGCACCCAAGTCTTGCCAGTCAGAGTCATTTGGGTTGACCCAGTTGTAGGGATGGAATCAACGGCTTTCCCATGGGTTCAAGAGTGGGTACCAATAGTCCCACAAATGGACTGTCTGTGCATATATATATATATGTATATATATATATGTATATATATATATCATATATGTGTATATATTCATGCAACATGTAACATTAATACATAATGTAAGTACATTTTTTGTACCTTAGATCAATCATGATGAGACCCATGTTCACTTTGGACAGGCTGAGGCACCCCACCCATTCACCACAATACCATGCTGACTTTGGCACCTCAGGTGACCAGCTGTCTGTGGTGACACGGGATGTGGCCATTTATAGTTGATTTTCCCATTGAAAATGGTGGTTTTATGGTGGTTTAATGGGATTTAATGGGATTTACCCTCTGGTAAACATACACAAAACTATGGTAAATTTGTAAATCACCATCTTTTAATGTAAATCCACTCTATTTCTATGGGCCATTTTCAATAGCAAACTGTTAAATTACCAGAGGGTAAGGAAACTGATGACACCAACATCCAGCAATCAGGTCATGTTCCAATCCCCTACATCCACCATGGTTTCAGGCTTGGGCTTAAAGGCTGAACAGGGGATTAATGATAGTTGCTTAGTAAACCCGTTGTATCCCCATTCTTCCCATTCATATCCCATCCAATCGCATGGTTGTCATTCTTAAAGTGTTGGTTATAGCGACTATTGAACCATAAATAAGTTCCTATTTTCTGAATTCCCATTGTTTGATGCTTAAAACCACAAGTCAACCATGGATCTCAGCAGCTCAGCACATTAAACCACTGAGGCGCTGGTCGGATTTGAAATGGTGATCCATCATGTCTGCGCCTTTAGCCTTGGGAGATCAAGCAACAAAAAGTCCTCGTGGTTTTGGGAAATTTCACAAATGACAATTGTGATATACATATATAAATGTATATACACATATATATATATTATAGTCATTTGACAGAAATATTGCTATGAAGACGGGGTATGCTATAAAGCTAATATATGATATATATATATATATGATATATATATGATATATATATATATGATATATATATATATGATATATATGTATATATATATGATATATGTGATATATATATATATGATATATAATTACAATTAAACATATATTATAAACACATATAATTAATGATAATACATGATACCACATATATGATATGTAGTGATTGTAATGATATGCTGATATTAAATGATATACTATCATTGTATATCATTCTCATTATATCAATGATGACTATATTCAATTATTATCTGCTAATGATTTAATAAACAATGAATAATAATGATAGACTAGAATACTGATAATCATAGTAACAATAACAACTGTAACATATATGTAGACACTTGTACAAATACATAGTAGCAGTAATAATTTAATAGTAGTACCGTATTCCACAAAACTTAATTGGATCATCCGAACATTGCTCATTCATGGTCGCTTTGGATGCGTGAATGAACCAGAAAGACCTAATGGACCTATGGTGGTCGTGGTTGGTTCTGTGCATTCCCAGAAACCCTCTCTTTGAAAGGGATTCTCACTTCGGGATACATACTGTAACTCCATTCATGCAAACCGCTAACCCAAACCACAACTGAACCAGTGAAGCTGAAATTGGATGGTGTTTTTTTTTCTTCTTCTTCTTCTCACACAAAATATTCAAACTTCAGAAGAGGAGGTATTCCCAAGTTGACATTACGCAGGTTTGTTGATATCCCCACTCTCAGTTGATCATTTCTTTGTGAGGGACCCAGCATTTTCATGCATTTTCTCCACATCTCCCAGCCTTTGTTGGTCCCGATCTTTGAACCACCCTGCCAAACAACCATCACGAAGTTGGAGCAATCATCGTGATCCGCGTGCCAAACCCAAACCTCAGTGAGACTCGGTCGGATGATCCCTGCATATCCCAGTTGGTGACCGATCGACTCATCGAAAACCATGTGCCGAATTCATCGATAATTTGATCAAACCATGTGCCGAATCTCAGAAAATTCTCCCCCGTGTTTCCTTCCATCCCCACTTGAAGCCGTTTGAAAATACTTCTGACTAGCCGCGACTAGCCCCAGTTGCCCCAGTGCCTTCCACAGTGGACCGAGGACCCAAACGTTGTCAATGATCAAACTATCATCATTGAACTCCAGCATATGATCTGCCCCTGGATGTCGACATGTGGGCCATGGTCAGGATATTGTGGTCTTAACTATATACATGTACATAATATATATAATATATATATATGTATATTATATACACATGTATACAGTATATATATATTTATTGCCAGGATATAACTCATAGAAAAAGGTCGAACAAGGAACATGTAGAAAATCACGACCAGCTACAATACCCTTCCTGCTGGAGATCACTAGCAAGTGTGGTCATCTCATCCAGCTGGGATTCACCCCAAAAAATGGTGGGTCAAAAGCCTGGTATTCAGATGGTTACTGGAGTTTTTTTCCCCAAATATGGTCATAATAGGTTTGACTCATACCCAAATATGAATGCATCCCAGTCTGGTGGAAGAAAAACATAACACCTATCATAAAACCACGAATCATGTAAGGAAGGAGGGTTTTTTCACCCCATTTCAGCGGGCCAAAGCAACAAGTGGGGCCCGTGCGTTTGAGTTCGCAGTTGAGGTAAGCGAAGGCCCCGATCCGCGCGACAATGTCCGAGGCCTTGGGGCCCGCCGTCATGCAGTGGCAATTGGTTCCTCTTATACCTTACTACAAACACACACACACATATCTATCTATATATCTAATCTAATCAAATCTAATCTAATCTAATCCAATCCAATCCAATCTTATCTGTCTATCTTTCTATTTATCTATCTATCTATCTATCTATCTAGCTATCTAGGTATCTATCTAGGTATCTATCTAGCTATCTAGCTATCGAGCTATTTATCTATCTATCTACCTATTTTTCTATCTATCTATCTATCTATCTATCTATGTATCTATCTATCTATCTATCTATCTCTCTATCTATCTATCTATCTATCTATCTAGCTATCAAGCTATCTAGCTATCTAGCTATCTAGCTATCAAACTATCTAGCTATCTATGTATCTATATATCTATCTATCTAGCTATCTAGCTATCTAGCTGATATATATCTATCTATCTAGCTAGCTATCTAGCTATCAAGCTATCAAGCTATCTAGCTATCTAGCTATCAATCTAGCTATCTGGCTATCTAGCTATCCAGCTATCTATCTATCTATCTAGCTATCTACCTATCTAGCTATCCATCTATCTATCTAGGTATCTATCTATCTATCTATCTATCTAGCTATCTACCTATCCAGCTATCCATCTATCTATCTAGGTATCTATCTATCTATCTATCTAGCTATCTATCTATCTAGCTACCTAGCTATCTATCTAGCTATCTAGCTACCTAGCTATCTACCAGTATCTATCTATCTATCTAGCTATCTATCTATCCAGGAATCTATCTATCTATCTATCGATCTATCTATCTTTCTATCTATCTCTCTCACATATATATTTATCAAACAAATCGATCTATTTATCAAACATATCGATCTATTTATCAAACATATCTAACTAGCTATCTAGCTATCTAGCTATCTAGGTATCTATCTAGGTATCTATCTAGCTATCGAGCTATTTATCTATCTATCTACCTATTTTTCTATCTATCTATCTCTCTCTCTATCTATCTATCTATCTGTCTATCTATCTATCTATCTATCTAACATATATATTTATCAAACATATCTATCTATTTATGAGACATATCTATCTATCTATCTAGCTATCTAGCTATCAAACTATCTATCTTCTATCTATCTATCTATCTATTCTAATCTAATCTAATCTAATGTAATCTAATCTAATCTAATCTAATCTATCTATCTATATATCTAACATTTATATATGTATCAAACATATCTATCTATTTATGAAACATATCTATCTACCTATCTAGCTATCTAGCTATCTATCTTTCTATCTATGTAATCTATCTGAGATATCTATTTATCAAACATATCTATATATTTATCAAACATATCTATCTAGCTTTCTAGCTATCTAGCTATGTAGCTATCTAGCTCCCTAGCTATCTAGCTATCTAGCTATCTATCTATCTAGCTATCTATCTATCTAGCTATCTATCTATCTAGCTATCTATCTATCTAGCTATCCATCTATCTATCTAGGTATCTATCTATCTAGCTATCTATCTATCTATCTAGCTATCTAGCCATCTAGCTATCTAGATATCTAGCTATCTAGCTATCTAGCTATCTAGGTATCTATCTAGGTATCTATCTAGGTATCTATCTGGCTATCGAGCTATCGAGCTATTTATCTATCTATCTACCTATTTTTCTATCTATCTATCTATCGACCTATCTATCTATCTCTCTCTCTATCTATCTATCTAGCTATCTATCTATCTAGCTACCTATATATCTAGCTATCTATCTATCTAGCTATCTATTTATCTAGCTATCTATCTAGCTATCTATCTATCTAGCTATCTATCTATCTAGCTAGCTATCTATCTATCTATCTAGCTATCTATCTATCTAGCTATCTATCTATCTAGCTATCTATCTAGCTATCTATCTATCTAGCTATCTATCTATCTAGCTAGCTATCTATCTATCTAGCTATCTATATTTCTATCTAGCTAGCTATCTATCTATCTAGCTATTATCTATCCAGCTATCCATCTATCTATCTATCTGTCTATCTATCTGTCTGTCTGTCTATCTATCTATCTATCTATCTAAAGACATATTATCATATCTATATGTACTGGCTAGTTGTAACTTCGAAGCCCATGACCTGCTCTGAGCCCCTCACTACGCCACTGACCTCGAGCTGCCGGCGGACGAAGAGGTTTGTGGCATCGCCCCACTGCAGGAGAGGTTCCCTGGCTAACGGAGAACCCGTGGAGATCGATGTCGTTTTCTTCCATGAAAAACGAACAAAACAAAACATGTAAACAAAAACATCGTGAGAGGGTGATTCATGTGATCTGATTATTGCTTTGGACTGGTGATTGCTTTCAACTTTGGAACAGTGATGATTCTCTGATGATTCTTAGACTGTTCTTGCTTGTATTTGCTGGAAAGGTAAGTTGTTGATATGTTTGTGATGATGGAACTGAGTTGGGAAGTTCCGTTTTCTTTGGCAGTAAGTTGCCTTTCAGAGGTGAAATGACCCTGATAACTAGGGGATGAAGAAGTCATAAGTTTCTTTGAAAAACCTGGCGATGTTTGAATTCCATGTTGCGACCAGAACAGGAAACTTTCAACTTTCAAGGGCCATAAGTTTCTCATAGGGTATCCTCCTGCGGTCTGACCTGGGAAAGGGACTCACCTCTACACTATCATCATATTATCATCATCTCGAGTTGGCCAACCTTTGATACTCATTTGAAAAAATGATCGATATGGAGTGGGAACATATCTTCCTATTATATATTATATATATGTATAATTATATTTATGTAATTTTATAAACATATATATATATAATTATATTTATGTAATTTTATAAATATATATATATCACCAAGGCATCTACTAGTAGTTCCATGGATGCCATGGTATCATGATGATTCATGGCATGGCATCCTGCATCGACATGTAGCACCCTGAGGCACGCACGCGTAGCCATGCGAAACGGGGGTATTAGCATCAAATATGATGCTGGCAATTCCTCAGCAGACTTTCAAAGAGATGGACTACAGTAGTTACTACAGCGGTTGGCCAAAAGCAAACATGTGGCCTGAAAGGGATGAAACCTTTGGCAATTGATTTCGTGATACCTGGATGCAAGGAGTTTGAACAGCCCTCCTTCTGCGATTTTCTACTTCACCTCGGCGACATGACTTGGGTTGCAGGGTGACTTTGACATTCTCCCAGTCATGTGCCATCTGCCTTTAGCTTGGTGCGTCTCAAACACGGGTGCACCAAGCCCAATGTGTTATTTTAAAACAACAGTTTCTCGAATTTTCTCTAGTCAAAACGGCAAATTGTGGCATAGAAACCCATCTATTCTCAAGCGACTCTGCATAGAGTCACAATTCTGAACATCAAACCCCAATTTTGGTCGATCCACAGCAGTACATCTTCAGCCATAAACTCCGTAAACTCCGCACGATGTTACAAGCTGACGTGTGCTGTGCGTTTATGTGTAAATTGATGCATCAAATGGATATGGCTCCACGTTATGCACAAGATTAGATTGTTTCTGGTCCTACAAGGTCCATTGGTTTTCCATGTTGGGTCGCAAAATAAAATTGGCTGCAGCCTTCGCTGGGGAACCCGGCTCACATCAGTCAAGCCTGAACGCACCTGCGGCGGAGAACAAGGCCGACAGGAAAGACTTGCAGTATATGTCACAACATTAATAGTGGGTACCCTCTGGTAATTTAACATAGCTATGGAAAATCACCATTTTTAATGGGAAAATCCACTATAAATGGCCATTTTCAATAGCTACGTTAAATTACCAGAGGGTAATACCCATTGGGTATGGTAGAGACCGTAAGCAAACTAATTTCTATTCCCAGCTGACTCCCCAAATAAACTTATCTTTAGCAAATCCAAAGTATCCGGCCATATCTCTTTGCACTCTCTGGATCACATAGCCAGGTTTGCTTGATAGTATATGTAAGTCATTTGAAACCCAGATTATCCCTGATGTTGCTTGCAGGGGTTTCAAAAAATTACGATTATATTTATCAGTAGGGGTCCAACCACATTTTTTTAGCCAAAAAACAAACACAATATTGTCAGTTTCCCAAATCAAGGGCTGAATTAAGGAGGAGTCGACATTCCACGGTTGACTCGCAAAGGACACCAAATGAGCTTGGAGCTACAAATCACTCTCAAAATTCAAATTCCGACCCTTCATGGTCCTGGTCCTAGTGGTTTCAAAGATGTCCTCACTGTTCGAACATGGTCATTTTTCTTGGAGTTTGGGAAGTTCGGGCGAGGAAACTTCCTGGCCAGGCACCTTCAAACACGACTGTCCCACCGGAGAAACTAAGGTCGGAAAACCTCACGTTCGAGGCGCGGCACCAAGGCACCACTTTGGTGCCGGGCCCTTTGGGGGCCACAACGATCACAGGGAGACAGCATCAAACAGCAAGAGTGGATGGTATGTATATATATATATATGTATTATACACACAATAATAATTTGTTAATAGATGTTAATAGTTCATTCAAAAAACATATCATGTGTAGCGGATACTGTTATGAATACGAGGATAGGAGAAAACATATTTTAGACCTGGGAGATTTTTTTTTTTGTCATTTGTTGGATTGAAGCATCCCGTCCCATGCCGCCCATGCCAATATAGACATATGACATATCCTATTAAATCTATACAAACAATTCCACACATATGGGATTTCCACAAATGGGGGTAGCCCCAAATGGATGGTGTATAATGGAGAATTCCATCTACACATGCATGATTTGGGGGTACATTGTGTCCCCGACAAAGAGAGATCATGCGGGTTGATCCATTTCCTTTGATTCAAAGGATGGAAAAACACTTTTCTGGAGAGTTCGAAACTGAATCAACATAAGATATGGTTGTTAAAACAACGCTTGTAGGTTACCTGGTTGTTTTAATTGTTGACAGCTGACATTCGGTAACCCCCACCATATCATGTACAGTAAATTGCTTTTATCAGTGAAATCATGTATTTATGAAAAGAAATATATTGACGTAATCACATCCACATGTGTATGAACCATTGTAAATCATGGAGGGTATCCACTTTCTATAACATCCAATTCTATCCAATTATAATTTTTAATGTACGCACTAGAAATCATAAAATCACCAGTGAAGGGCAAAACCTTCTCCGAATAAAGTAAGAAACGAATCCCTACAAAACTGCTATTACAAGCAAAATCACCATCAACAATACCCCAAACATATTCACATATAGTATTGAATTATCTCATATCTCCAATAAATACCCCCCATACAGTTCAGTATACAGTATATTCCCATTAAATCTTCAATATGTACTCTCCCAAAAATCTCCCATTTAGTTCGATGATGCTCCTCTAAACCTACATGTCCTTCCGGGGATTTCCCATTGCCAAGCATGTTTGACACCGAAAGGCATCATTGGTTGTATACTTATGTATATACCATTATAATCCATTATATATCCATTGAACAAATATATATACCCTCTGGTTATTTAACATAGCCATGGAAAATGGCCCATTTCTAGATGGTTTACCTATTAAAAATGGTTATTTTCCATGGCTATGTTAAATAACCAGATGGTATATATATATATCACATTATAGATGGTGAAACCATGTGAAATCCATCAAACACTTGGGGTTATAACGGAGATTTCGTTGGTTTTTCCCCACGAAGCCCTGGGAAATATTGGGTAGCACCCTGGGCAAAAGGCACCAATGCCCAGCACCACGAAGCGATCCTTTGTGACCTGGCGGAAGGGATTTCATGGAGATTTAATGGAGTTAAACAAGAAAAACATATGAACATTTAGTGGGGATTTTTTCTGGATACATCAAATAACAATGGTTAAAACCAGGCCAACATTTCACTGGCGTCAGTAAATCTGCGCTCAAAAAAGTGCCAGCAAAACCTCTGAATCGCAGGGTTTCTGCGCTGTGAAAGTAGTTTCTAGCGAGGTTGCAAATCCTGTTGATGTTGCACTGGCCCATCTCAAAAAGTTTCCCAGTCGCAGGGATGTAAATGCTGTGAGCCCACCATACTCCAAGATTCTCCTGCATGCGAAGCAACATCAACCCAACCAAAATAAATCACGGAACTCGTATCCATTTATCATCATATATCATCATTATCCCATTTAGGTCTACAGCGCTTCCCAACTTTCACCGGCTCCGGACCTCTAAAGATCGAGTCAGGGCATAGATCTCGGCAGGTGGAGACTCCTCAGGGTGTATTTTTGATGTCTGTCAGTCCCAGCTGAGAATCCCAAAGTCCAATGGTTCAAATGAAGACACAAAATATAAGCAACAAATTGAGGTATCAACCATGCGAGTATATGGGTAAACGGGTAAACCTAGTATAGTGTGTGCTGTTTTATTAAGACCTTCGAACTTCGAAGTAATAATGGTAAATTCAACTACTGTAACATCCATGTAAATCTTTCAGGTAGTTGGGTAAAAGTGAACGGAAAGTCAGTTTGGGTTGCCGATTGGAAAAAGAAAACATTACTATTTTTCGATATTTTTTTGTATAGACTAGACTAGACTGACCACAGAGGACTAGAATTCCATAGGAAAAACATCATCTTCAATATTTTGTGTTATCATATTTTAATGATGTGGATCCCTATGGAAGAGCGTTGATAGCAGTCGCTCTCCTCACACAGTCCGACCAAAAAGGTTTGCCTGGATATCTGCATGCAAAAAATGGATTTGTCTGACTGAGAAGTGGATGTGTCTGACCCCCCAAAATGGCCATTTACACGGAAATATGATGATAGATAAACCACCCGGTTTGGCCGGTTTGGGGTACAACATTTCAGACAAACCAAAATAACAACTTTGTCGTTTTGTTTCACAAGCACCCACAGTACAACTACAGTAACGACCCGCAACACCGCATCATTTGGCCATTTGGCCGTGGACAAGCGTCCATTTTGGAGGACACAACACATTGCCAAGTGGGACATAATCTCATTGGGGTGAAGTCATTGGGGTATCCCAAGCAGAACCTGAGACGCTGACCCCCGGAGTCAAAAGCAAAGCAGCCTGCCGGGAACAGACATGTCTAAGCAGTGCCCAGTTCACCTTCTGCCATTCTACCTGGGACTTGTTAGTCTTGAAGTCTTGGAATCAATATTATACGTGTATATATATAATCATATATATATATTATATGAAATATAATATATATATATATACATACATACATATATATCATCATGTATCACATATGTATATATAAATATATCACACATATATATATATATATATCACATATATACATTTATATATATATATATATATTTATATCATATATATATATATATATATGTATAACAAATATATATATATATATGGATATAATAAATATATATATATATATCACATATCAGTATTATATATATATACACACATACACACACACATATCCATCATCCTATAGTCCACACAAGAATTTGCAATCTCCATAACACCAGTTGAGGTACTGAACCAACATTATCTACTGGATCAACTGGACGTGCTCATGTCTGCTGAAGCTGCTCTTCTGGGGTCATAGCCGGGGCCGGATATCGCATGGATCAAAACATGTAAGGGTCTACTCTTGGATTTGAGCAGGGCTTCGCCCCAAGAAATACAACACGAGAAATTCCCCAAACCGTGAAAATACAATCGTGAAATCAAACATCGCCTTGAGATACCTTGAGCAAACCCAGGTATTCGGTTTATGCAGATCGCCGATAACATTCGGTATTGTTGACTGGTCACGACAAACATGTGGCTCGTTGGTCCTTAAATGGTACCAGTCAGATACCTAGCTCCTACAAGAATCCCGCCCGTAGGTGATCCCGAGACATCAAATCATGAAACCTCAGACATCATGCTCCAATATTCCTGCTGGAAAATCACCATAGAATTTTCAAATGTTTCGGACTTCCCGTTGGTGGTATTTTCTGGATTTCTGTGCCGTCTTTGTGCCCTATTCTTTGGGCCTCAAAATACGCTATACCCCAGTCCCGCTTCGCATGATTTCCGTCAACTTGCTTGGGCTATACCCCGCTGGACACCCCCACCGCAGAATGGGTGCTCCATTCCATCCACTGGTTCATCATGCCGAACTATGAACATGAACATTTTGAGGGATGTGTGTATACCCCATTTTCTGGCAAAGCCAACTAGTTCAAATAATCTTTGCTTAATATCCCCAATATATACCCACATATACCCACTAGTTTTGGTGAAATCACCACTTATAGAGTGTTGGTTGCACAGTTGCACATCCAAATGTCCTCTGAGAAACTATCCCAATAAAATATCAGATAATATCCCAAACAAAATCACCATTCCTCAACTATTCTTTGAACTATTCTTAACTTATTTCTTCAACGTTGTAACTTACACTATCCCGTGCTATCCTTCCATGATTTCACCATGGATTTCGCCCCGCACTTCCCAACGGCCTTGTAGCGCATGCCCTGGAGGATCGTATCGGTACTCATCTGGGGATCAGCCACAAAGACCTGGCCAGATCCGGATCGTTGGATCGTTCATAAATATTAAACCGAAGTGGAAAGATAGTTCAGCCCCTAGAAATTTCCAGAAACCGTAGTGCCATAGTTTAGTAGGTGAGAAACCAGAGTTTACTAGGGGAAACCACATGAAATTGGGACCATTTGGTGTTGAATATTGGGTTTTCTGATAGGGATCGGGAATATCATGGGATTTGATTGGATTTCACGGGATCCTAAGCATCTGGTTTTTCAACATATTAGCTACGGAAAATGGCCCAATGAAATAGATGATTTATGCGGATTTTCCGACCAAAAAAGGTGATTTTCCATTTTCCATAGCTACCTTGAATTACCAGAGGCTAACTCCGAAGCCAAGCACCTTGGAATACCTTGGAGCCCTTGGAGCCGGGGTTGTGCGAGGTTAGGTTCACGACATTTATGGCTCCAGAACAATACTCACCCTCCCAATAGTAGCGGTGTCTTGGGTATACCCCGATTCTCTGACATTGTGGATCCTGCATTGAGTTTTTCTGGTGAAATAGTCCCCATTTTGTTTTTTTCGTTCAATGATTGGTTTTCAGGGGTATTGATGCAGAATAATTATTATATAATGATATTATATTTATGATATGATATATTAAATTATATATATATGATAATTATCGACAATTAATCCCCAATGTATCAAGAGAAGTATAACCCTGAATTAATATTCAACCAACCATCAGTTGCTAATAGTGCTCAAATCCTCATGAAGTAACTCATCAATCATTTATCACCTGATCGCCATATGGGCCACGGTCAATATTTAGTAGCTTCAAGTCATCAATTTTTAAAGAGTGTATTATCGTTTTCCAATCCCCACCTCAATTTCTAAAAATAAAGATGTCTCGAATACATTCGAATACTAGTTTCCATTACGGTAAATTTTGGCTGTAGCTCATATGTTTGATTGTTAAAAACCACTTAAATCCCACTACACCTTGTTTTTGTAGGTTGGTTAAATCTCATACAAGCACCATTTCTCATGGTTAAATTCCACTTAACTCACTTTGAATCTACAAACAAAAACCATCGAAACCAGTCTCAAGCCCGCACCATGCCTCTCTGAAGCTCAACTTCCAGCCAATCTGGCCTTCGCGATCCTGGAACTGACATACTGGTTGGTTAAGAACTAGGTGCCCAGTCCTTGGATGGTGATCATCCCCAGTATATTAGGGTAGCCCTCCGAACCTTGTAATCATGACACTCCTCAAGTGATGAATCAAGAATCAATGGATGGTATTTGGCGTACAGTGAAGACATCAAGAATCAGCCACATTCGAACAACTACAGCTAAAATTACATCAACTACAGGCCTCAAGTTAACAACAAAAACATGTTTCATAATGTTTTCATAGTATTTGTTAGTGTTTTTTTTAAGGGTGTTTTCATAAGGTTTTCCAGCCAAGTGATAGATAGGACGTCCAAAACCAGCTTTTCGTCCTGGATATAGCCCGGCTCCGGCTGATGCACCACCTTCGGTACGTGGATCATCCATTCGGAGCCCTGGCAGCGCCATAATTTTCATCACCAAAGGCTCTTGAATTCATTCCGTAATTCTACCGTATATATATATATTATATTATATATACAATATATATATATATATTATATTATATTATCTTATCTTTTATAGAATATGACAAATTATATATAGAGTATATTTTATATAATAAATCATATTATATAATCATATATTGATTATGTTACCTCTCCCCCAAACATAAAAATACTATTTGTCACTACTTCAGTCCGATTTCACCTTTGCCAGTGCCTTCACGCCGCAGACCCCCGCCTCCCACACAATGTAGGGCTTCTCCGCGGATCCTCGGACAACGTCGGACAAGCCAAAAAAATGGATGGATGGCTGTGATTTGATGGTGATTTCATGGCTGTGAATTGATGGGATTTCACCAACAATGGGGATTAGACCTGATTTAACCAATCAAACTGGAGGATTCCACAGTAGATTTAAGATGATTTAAGAGAGAAATCAAACCTGGTGATTTTGACGCCCCACATATTGCAGATTTTCCCTCTTTTGGATATTGCTTTGGATCAGGGTTGAGGTCTCAACTCTGGACTGGAGCTGCTGTCTGGAAACCACACAAAAAGGCGTGTATGAACATGTTCTTATCCCCAATTTATGTAATTCTAATGGAACAAATATATGATAAACAATTGGATTTTGAGATACCGATCCTATCACTCCAGCTGATGTTCGATTTGGCGCCATTTTTTTCCACTTTTTGATGCACAAGCTGTAGTACGAGTAGTTTATATATTTGGCAACATATTCATGTTTGTTAGCTCTCCAATTTCGCTGGTAAAAGAATCATCCTTGCTTGTGAAATGCCAATTTTGGATGGTTTACACCAAATCGTTTGTTTCAATGGATTGGTGGAAACATCTACAGGAAATCCCATATTTCAGGGGAAAAAAACGATGGTTTCCTGTAGATTTTCCCAACAACCAATCCGTTGATCGTCCGTGGTAAAACTTCGACTCCCGGCGCGCTGTCCGGTCCATGATGGAGACCTTGTTGAGTGTTCCCTGAGCATCTTTGGTCAGCTGAGATCACTATAAATGACCCGTATTCCATATATGTTATATAGATAGATAGAGATAGAGAAATATATGTGTATTATATATATATGTGATATATGTGATATATGTGATATATGGATATGTCATGTGATATATGTATATATATAATTATATGTATATACATACATACATATCATATATGCATATACATACATAAGCACACATGCACTTGGAATTAATGGAATTATATTGTTTCAGAACTTGTCTTACCTTACCTGCCTATACACTATAAAGCACTCCCACTCATACATTTGGGCCGTGTATGCGTGTGAGACGCGGATGCATTTGCTGATATTTGCTGTACATCACCACGGCCAATGTTGGAAACTTGTATAACAACTGGATACAACTGGTATGCGATTGATAACCATTGTACGCAAATATAATACTATTAATTATGAATACGTAATGACATGATAGAACCTGTCCACTGTGCAACTCATGCGGTATCTCTGACATGTGCATGAGAATCAATTAGCATCATTGTCCCAGGCAAGATCAAGATGGATGATTAAAAAAAAACTTTGACTGTATGCGGAACTACATCAGTGACATATCAACATACCATGATATCATGATATAGTAGTTAGTTCTACATATATTTCTACATATATAAACGCGTGCGGTGTCTCGGTTGTACGTTTTACGATCCCGTACACCTTCTCTTAGCAATTCACGATGCTCGCAATTCATGACTGTTTGGGTTCCAACCCGTCTTGCCTGGTGAGCTTCGCCGAAGACTGCTGCAACAGTGTTCCAGAGTCATCATGGAACTTAACCTCAATCCATGCCTGATGATCCGCCTCTCAAACTTTCACAGTTCTTTTGATATGTTGACAATTTTCAACAGATCTTTCTTGGAAATATTGAAATATACCTTGTCATCCATGACTCCAGGAAGTGTCACATCTCCACAGATTTCTGTCCCAAACCTCCTGGCCTTGTTACACTTGTAGCCCATCTCCACATCTATGCCTTCGACCTGCAGATCTTAAACAGCACACATGGTCACGCACATTTTCTACTGGCAAGACCATGTTTAATCACCTATATATAAAGAAAAACACAAATCCGCATGAATATGGGGATACGCAGCTATATTGCATCAGTGAACAACTGGGCCTTCAAGGAATAGACAGTGACATCAATAAATAATAGGGATTAACACCAAAATGCGGAAGCGTAAGGTGCACTGATTCAGGGCTGTCAGCGTGATTTTTTACCGCGCTGAAACTGTGTTTAGTAGGTGCCCTTCATTTTTTCAGGTTTCCATATTCAGCATGGTCTGAGACCCATTTCTGATGTGTTTCCTTTCATAGTTGTTTGTTTTCCATGTCAAAATATATAGTTAAAAACAACCAGCACATCAACCATTTCCATGTCTTTAGTGTGTGTGCTTTTTTTGAATCCCTGTATGGACGTTGCCATATTCTTTAAAGCCACATCACCAAACCCTCCAGCGCTTTTTGGCCAAGTTGTACCTGCATGCTTAAGATTCCCATACATAGATAATACATAGACTGTCTAGGAAAAAACATAGACAGGCATCAACCAAACAAAGCCATCAAAGATAGATTGAACCAAACCGATACATCACACACACACACACACACGCTTTCAGTCTATCCCAGGAAGTTCTGCACTACAAACATAATCCCTGGAATCAGATTGGAGGGGCCCATAACGAATGTCAAGAAGCGCCCATGAAGATGTAGTTCCATCCTTGCCAACATTCCAGTCCTCACATGGCCCCTGGGAGGTTGAGAAATCAAGCAGCTCATATTATGGTATCATCTTACACCTCTTAGCCCTACATATTCCATCTAAGTACGTGTGTTGTTGTATATAGTATACATGTCTGTATAAATGTATAGACGCATGTGTATGCATGTACAGAAGGGACTACAGTATGTATATATATATAACATTATATAACAATATATAACATGTTTGAGCTGCATGGGGATTCCTAAAGTGATGTAGAACGCAATGTTGCGGTCATTTGCAATGCTTCATGTTGTCTGAGTTGAGGGATCTCCACTCTCATTGACCCAAATCCATATTGCAATAACACGAAACCAATGGCATTCTCGCCAACTTTCTTGATCAAAACCCCCATGGTAAATCACAACATTTCCTAGTCAAATCAATCATAAAAGGGTAGATGGGTCAAAGCTCAAGTTATATACCTTGGTGAAGACCATCAAAATGGGGGGGGGACACTATTTTTGAACAAAGCGCTTTATAAATGGCTTATAACTACGGTTACTATGAGGGACACTACCCAATTCAGATCCGTGAGATGATCCCCCTCCCATTCCGCGTCCTCCGGGGGGCATGGTCATCTGCCGCGCGAACCACTGCTGCTGCGTGCCCATGACCAAGCTCTTGCCGATCTGGGCGTTGAACAAGGCCGTTGAAGAACCCAAACATGTGATTTTTACGGTGGTTTAGCCAAGGATAGAATGGGTTATATATAAGTTATATAAGGGGTTTACGATGGGGATATATAACCAAATAAATTTGTCAATTGTGATTTAACCAAGAACAACTACCATCAAAAATGGGGATTTGACGAACAAACATGTTGTGATTAAACATGTTGTGATTTTAGCATCAAAGATGCAGATTCAACGAATACACATATATAGGCATTCACCAACTCAATTTCAGATAAAAAAAAAACACCAAATTATAATGGGAGATACTTGAATATAAACAACAAAGATATGTATGTGGGGATTCAACCACAAATGTTGATATTTTGATAACCAGCAACAAAAATGGTGGAGGTACAACCAGCAATCATGAAAATGGAATATGTGGGATTTATCATGAATCTGTCCCGAAATGGAGGTATACCTGTATACCCATTTCTGGATATTTCTGGTTATTTTACATGGGAACATGATCATGAACCTTGGATTTGGGCACCAGAAATGGAAGGGCCTAAGGTATAGTAATTCGCAAAGAATAGCATAAAAGGGTTATCATCAATACCATGATGCGTGGGATTTGTCCCAAATTGGGGAATCTCGGGCTGTGACATTTTGTAAAGTGGATAGATTCTTCATGATTCTTCTATATTTGTCTATAAATCTCTGATAAAGATTGATAAGCCATGGAATTTTGTGGGTCACTCTGCTAACAAATCCATAATGCCCCCATATGCCCCCCCCGAAATGGGCGCCTTCACATCGCTGATGAAGCCTCCAGAGGAGTAGCCGACCTCGTTTTTTGTTTTTTTGGTGGTGAGAAGTCACCTGCAATGGGGGCCCAAGATGGCTAAGTTGGTTCAAAACTACAACAACTAGGGTTTATGGGGGATACATCTAACATCATCAAGCCATAGTCAGATGGGGGTTAAACATGGTTAAACGAACTTATAACTAGAGGCCCACTTTGTCATTGAACCCCCCAACTCATGTTTAAACCCAGGCTCGATTGATATCGCTGACACACAAGACTCACTAGAGACTTTCGGCGCCCAAGACCAGACCCCAAACCAGTACAAACCAGCAAAAAACAGGAAACATAAGGAAAACACAGGAACAAAAACAGAACCACCGGGATGCCTCCGATTTGTTATCCAGTACCTCTGCAGTTGCTAAGTAGACACGGACTATCTTGGTAGTCACAACCGGCTTGATCAAGGGAACATGTACAAGAAGTTATATATATGCTTTTGTCCATCAAATATATGGCTATGGGTCCAAACTCTGGTACCTGGTGAAGCCTGAAATAGCTTGTAAATGGGTGTTCTTCCCTGCAAAAATATGGTATTTCACAAGCTATCCGTAGCCATATCGAGTTTTCCTCGGTTTGTGACTTTTCCCATCCCATTCCGGGAGGGTTTCGAGCCAATCTCTGGGTGCCAAGGCATCATGCGACAACCAGAGTTCGCCCCCAATCACGGAACGCCGTAAGGGACTGGCCTGGCTTCTGCAGGATCCCGCATCATATACAGTATGTAAAGTATATATATATAATATACATATATATATATATACAGTATATATATATATACAGTATATATATAATATATTATATATATGGACTATCCCTATGTACCCAAAAAGAAACCCAAGTGCATGTATGCCTATGTGTCTGCATGTATATATAAATATAAAATACATACACACAGATGAGCATGTGCTATATATATATAAATATTCTTACACATGAATATACATGGTATTTATGTTTTTTTTTACATGTCCTATGTATGCACCATGGATGGCGGCTCCGTATTAATTTTCCCAGTCGTCGGGGATGCCTGTGAGACAGCCCACATCGTGCCTGGGGCCGGTGGACTTTTGTAAACCATGGGGTTCTGTAAACCGTGGGTACTCCCCAATTGTTGGGGGTTATCTAGGAGAATCTATGATAATCTTTGATAATCTATGATAATCTATGATACACTATGATAATCTAGGATAATCTATGATATTCTAAGATAATCTATGACAATCTATGATACTCTATGATAATCTTTGATAATCTATGATAATCTATGATCATCCATGATAATCTATGATAATCTATGATAATCTATGATAACCTATGATAATCTATGATAATCTATGATAATCTAGGATAATCTATGATAATCTATGATAATCTATGATAATCTATTGTAATATTTGATATTCTATGATAATCTATGACAATCTAGGATAATCTATGATAATCTAGGATAGTCTATGATACAGTAATCTATGATAATCTATGATAATCTATGACAATCTATGATAATCTATGATAATCTATGATAATCTATGATAATCTATGATAATCTATGATAATCTAGGATAATCTATGATAATCTATGATCATCCATGATAATCTATGATAATCTATGATAATCTATGATAACCTATGATAATCTATGATTATCTATGATAATCTAGGATAATCTATGATAATCTATGATAATCTATGATAATCTATTGTAATATTTGATATTCTATGATAATCTATGACAATCTAGGATAATCTATGATAATCTAGGATAGTCTATGATACAGTAATCTATGATAATCTATGATAATCTATGACAATCTATGATAATCTATGATGATCTATGATAATCTATGATAATCCATGATAATCTAGGATAATCTATGATAATCTAGGATAATCTATGATAATCTATGATCATCCATGATAATCTAT